TACTAATTTATTTTCCCTCTCCGCCGCTAATTTGTTAGTAATTTATGACGATATTAACTTACCGCTTGGTAGTTTTCGCTATCGCAGTCAAGGTTCAGGCGGGGGGCACAACGGAGTAAACAGTATTATTTTAAGACTGATGACTAAGAAATTCAAGCGTTTGCGAATAGGAGTTGGTTATAATCCAAAAGTTCTTTTAACTGATTGAGTTCTAGGACGATTTTCCGAGGAGGAAAGGCGAGAAATAGCAAACATTTTGCCCCAAGTGGTGGCTGGTTTGGAAGAATGAATTCAGAGTGATAGTGATTTTGAAAAGATTATGAGTGATTATAATAAAAGATTAAAAATTATCAATAAAACAAGTAATATGAATAGTAATCAAATTTTAAACAAATTAAAAAACAGAGAAGAAAAACTCTGAGAAAAATTAATTATCAATGGTGGATATGTGCTAACCGCAACAATTTATGTTTGGTTTATAAAACACATATTTAGCTGATTTAGTTTTGTTGTGGGGTTCCTTTTGTCTTCAATGGGTAAATCCGATTGGGGCCAAAAATATTTTGATAGCAACCAATGAATGTCTGGCGGTGAAGTGGTGGGGTTTTTCATTGCTCTTTACTTTTCCGCAATGGTCTTTTATTATTGTCGTCAATGATTACAAGTTCGTCGGGAATTCCGGGAAGTTAACGAAAATAAGTTCTAATAAATCATTAGAAAAATAACGTTGGAAAATGGGTGTAGTTGAAAGATTGGAGAAGGAAAAAAGTGAGTTAGAAAGAAAATTAAAAGGGCATTGTCAATGAGGAAGTAAACAAAGCGTAGCCTTAAAACACAAAATCGAAACAATTAACCAATTAATTAAGATTTACCAAGCTCAGCCCTCTTTACCAGTTGACTTAGACGAGGCCAAAAAAATTCTCGACCAGCAAGCGGGTTTACAAGAATTAAAGGAAATAATTATAAAAAAGTTAGAGACTGAAAAATTAAAGAGGGGAGAAAAAGTTTTGGAAGAGCCGTTAATTTTGTGTTTAGTTGGACCATCGGGAACGGGCAAAACTACTCTGGTCCAACTTTTTGCCCAAGCCGCTCAGAAAAAAATTTATTCGCTTGCCTTGGGAGGTTTGAGCGAAGTTTCCTGGCTGGCCGGAATTAGTGAAGGCTCAGGGGGAACGGAAATCGGACAGTTAGCCAAGGCCTTAGTAGAAACTGAGATGGGTAATCCAATAATTCTACTAGAAGAAATTGATAAAGCCGGTTCCAATTACAAAACTGCTATTCTTGATTATTTAGGAGCAGTTTTAGACCCGAGACAAAATCAGGAAATACCAGACCATTATCTAGGAGTTAAGTTAGATTTTTCTCAAACAATTTTTATCGCTACTGCTAACGAATTAGACAAAATTCCGAAATATTTGCGTTCCCGTTTAACGATAGTAGAAATGTCGCCTTACAATCCGGAAGAAAAAAAGGAAATTGCTCAGAAAATTATCCAAAAATGATTTACGGATCATCCCACTTTTCAGTCTGAAAATTTTGAAATTACTCCTGAAGCCTTAACCAACTTAATCAAAAAAACTCGGGAGAAAGGTGTGAGACAATTAGAAAGAGCACTTAAAACTATTCTCGACTATTGTTTTCGTCAATGAGCAAAGGAAAAACAACAAAACAAGGAACAAAGTAAAATAATTGTTGATTCAGAATTGGTGAACCAACTTATCCCTCACGTTTTTACGAATGTGGACTGGGAGGAAGAAAAGCCGAAGAAAAATGACCAGAAGAATTTTAATTCCGTAGAAAGAAAAAGTTTTGATTGGAGTGTTGAAAATAATCCGTGATTTTTTTTGTTTGTTATTAGTTTAGCCCTAGTCGGGATTTTGGGTTGTAAAAATTATTTATTGGAGAAAAGCAAGATTAACACCAACTCAAATTAATATAAAAAGTATGCCAATTTTCCAGGAGAGAAGATTAGTGATAAAGAAAAGGTTTTGATTACTTTTGGCAATTATTTTTTTTCATTCACTGTCGATTTTCTTAGCCGCAATTTATGACAAATTACTACATCCTAATATCGTCAAATTTACTGAGTTACGCTACTGACTTCATTTCTTTTTCTACTGGTCAACTCTTACTTCACTGGTTACTTCTGGGTGAGGAATTTATAAGTTAGTTAATCCAGAAAGGAAAAAGCCGAGTTTTTGGGGACAATGGGTAGATTTTACCATTAGTCAAGCCAACCTGATTAGTGGGTTGCTTTTCATCATTTGCTTTTTTGCGTGGATGAAACTTTATCTGAAAAATGAACCAAGGAAGATTTTTTTGCTTTCTTCGGTAATTTTCTCTCACTTTTTAGCTTCGCCCTTAGCAGTCATTTATTTTCAGAGGTATTGCCCCATCAACTTATTAGTCAAGAGAAGAAAAAGACTTCTTTCATTTAATTTAATTTCTCCTACCATCTACTTCCTTTATGTAATGATTAGACCAAAAATA